TAAGTGGGGTCTGGGTAGACTGAAATAAAATGGATTTGAGCAAGGCAAAAGTAGATGCGGAGAGACCATGTAGGAGGTAATTTCACTAAGCAAGATGTGAGGTGATGGCACTGAGGACTGAGATAGTTTTGGTAGAGATAGAGGAAAAGAAACAAATTCAAGGCTAAAGTTCAATCTAAGGACTTGGTGACCAGCTGGATATGAGAGGTAAGGAATAAGAAACAGGAGTGAAAACGCTGCTTCTGATTTGGGCTGTTAGGCAGACAGTGATGCCACCCACTGAGATAAGTAGACTAGAGTTTGAAGTAGAAAAGCAAAATCTTTTTGGAAGCAGTTGATTAATTGAATTCCTAGAGGCTGAGGTTTAAATGCCTGTAAGACAACCAACTGGAGATGTTCAGAGGCAGTTGGATACACAGGACTCAGCAGCAGAAGAGAGCTTAGAAAATCATGATGGGAATCGTCAGCATACAGACAAGGGCTAAAGTGATAGGAGTAGATAGGAGACTAAAGTGATAGGAGTATAGGATTTGCTGGAGAGAGAGGGCTACAGACAGAACAGGTACAGCAACATCTAGTGGATGCACAGAGAAGAGTATCAGTGTAAACAGAGACAGGTAGAAAAATAAGTACGATGGTGAGTGAGAAAGACAAAGAAAGGTGATTGGGTCATCGGTGGCCAATGCTTTGGAAAAGTCAAGGGAGGTAAGGGTCGAAAATCATCCACTGGATCTAGCAATCAGGCAGCTTGACAAGTGCAAGATGGAAGCTAGTTGAGTTGGTAAAAGAAGAGGAAACAGAGACATTAGATGTTAAAGGCACTTTCAAGAAGTTTGGCTGTGAGGAATGGAAAAGGGACAGGGAAGCAACATCAGAAAAGTACAGGGTGTTTGCAAATTGTTCTCTTCTCATGGAAGAGGTCTGAGCAAGTTTTGAGTGCTGAAATGAAAGAGCTGTGAGGTGGGAACAGGGCAAAATGTGGATATTCAGGGAGAACCAGAAGGAGATGGGTCTAGAGTAGACCAGGAGGAGCCTGTCTTTTGTTAGAGTAACACAGAAGGACTTGAGTAGTTGCTGTGAAGAATGGGGAAAAGAATCAGGGTGCCTTTTCTGTATCTCTCATTCAGTAACCAACAGGCTCTACTATGCATAGATCATCAAAGATGCCTTTTCCAACTAGTGTGCAAAAGAGTATTGTGTGCAAATTCACCCTGAAGAATTGGTGTTGCTAGATGATTACTTTAACATTCAAGTAGCATACAAAAATTTATAAACACTAAATTCGTATTTTTATAAATCAGCATTTTAAAACATTTTTAGCATTCTTTAAAGAATAATCTACATTGGACCAATCCACTTCATTAAATGAAAATCAGTCAAACATCATCACTAATTCCAGTCATTAGTACAGAAATGTACCCATGGGACTACAAAGAACTCTTTCCTGACTCCACCAGGCACGTAATGGTAATAAAGTCCCCAACTAGCTGTAGTGAACACTGGCTTCTGAATTAACAGAACTCTGATTTTGTTCACTTCCAAGGCGCACTGTGTTTAGGCCTGATAGGTGAGTCTTCTTGAACTCAAACCCAGCTGGTTTAGAAATGGGCATGTGTCACGAGTCTTGCTGATTAAACTGCCAGGAGGGAGAAGGGAGAAGAGCTCCTGGGGAAAGCTTCCTCACTTTAGGAAAAGTGGCGCAAAGATAAATTACATCTTCCTATCTTTCCAAAGGCATTTAATACCCAGAACTACTGCTGTTTCTAGGGTCCACCAGGGGAACTGGCCAGTGAGGACAGAGGTGGTATTAAGGACAGCACAAAAGATGAAAAGAACTCTGTCCTTCATGGATGCCACAAAACTATGAGTTTTCTGCAACTACCTTACTTTGGGAATTCTTGTCATAATACATTTTTCTACTTCCAATTGAGGTTGATTAGTATGCTACCAGGGTAGGGCCAAAATGATCAAAACCACAAGCAGGGATGGAGGAGCCTAGAAAGAAAAGAGTAAATATTTGCTAGTTTATTAGTAAGACTTATTTTTTATGATAATAAAGGAGTTTGGTGAGGAGAAAGGAAAAAGAAGATTGAGATAAGAAAGGAAAATAGCAACTAAAAGCATGAGTGAAGTTCCACTAAGGTTTCCTTGCCCGCTCCTTCTTTGGGGAAATGGATTACATTGTCTTTCTCTCTTGCCTTCCCTGCATGTCCTTGATCATTAGGTGGCTATTCCTTCTTAGTCTGTGACTCATACCCAGTCTCAGACGTCAGAATTCTACTAATAGTTTCAGGGCAGAGAAAAAAACACAAATATCAATTACTCACTGAGGATATCCATGCCTGCCACAGCCAGGCATTTACAGTTCATTACGTGGGCTGGGTACCCTTTCTCACCTTCCACACGTAGGGACTGAAAAGCCACCTAAATTGACTACGCATACAGTCCTGACCTTCATAACCTTGCAATCCTGTTCAAATACCTTCAGGAAAGCTGTATTTCAATATCTATCCCTCTCTTCTCTACACAAATTCTTCTCATCCCAAAGACAGCTAATCCTCACCCTAATCAGTCCTTGCCAGTTACTTCATTTCTGCCTATGATCTGCAGCACTAGAGAACTTGGGGTCATCATGAAGTCTTCCTTTGCTTCATTCCAAGTATTTCTCAGATTTACCTTGGCATTTCAATTCCCACTGTCTCCATCATAAACCAGATGCTTACATAACACACCTGAACATAATATTCAGAGCTTAGTTCTCACTCTCTTCCCCCTCCCCCACCTTACCACTTGCCTTATTATCTTGCTGTCTCTCACCTCCAAAATCTGCCTGCAGTGACTCTCACTTGCTCACTCCACCATGCCTCAGCTCTTTTGAAAAAGTGGCAAGGTCCTCCCTAATCTCCATCAAATCCTCCCATCTTCTTCCAGGCAGTCTGACAAGCTGTATACTGTGTTTTTCTGCCTCGGGGATTTCACCACACTGACCTTCCTGCTTTGGAATGCTCAGCAGTCCCACACACTATTTTCCTAAATCTTCCTCATCCTTCCAGGCCCAGCTCAGATCTCACCTCCTCCATGAAGACGGTGCTCACTCCAGCTCTTTCATCTTTGGACTCAGTACCATACTCTTCAGCATCTAACTGTCTTAATAAAGTTTCATTCTCTTCATCATGAAGCCACACTCCTTGTCAAGAGAAAGCATGTGCTATACATTGTGCTGTCCCTTACAGTGCCTAGTACAGTCCTGAACACTAGGTAGACATGAGATCACTATTTAGTCACACAATCAAAATTCAAGGAGCAAATGCCCCACCCCCTATAGTTTTAGTTACTAAGAACACTAAAAAAAGGGTCAGAGTATCTTGCAGCCCTTGGAAAGCCTGAAGTACACTCCAAAAGATATCTGCCCTAGCTGGAAAGGTCCCAGAGATTCATCACTGAACTGACTGTACGTATCAGCAAGGAATGAGGGTGGGGCTCAAGACAAGTATGGGGTGGTGCAGTCTGGAACTACATTTACCACTGTGGCTTCCTCCAGTGGAGTCACTTGGTGCCAAGGGAGGTGGATGCGGCTTGTCCATCAGCATGCCAGAAGAGGGGGCTCCTCCCAAAGGGACAGAGGGAATGGAGTAAGGGCCAGGGACACCGGAGACAGAGGGAGGGTACCCGGCCTTGGCTGCTTTCCCTGCTTCATACACTGTGGAGGGAGATGAAGAGCAAGAGATTATGTAGTCCCACCCTCTATAACCCTCACACCCCAAAATCCCTGAGGTTTCATTCTTTCAAGGGAAGTCCTGGACAAGTGTGTACTCTTTCTTCCAGGACTGAATAGGTTCATCAGAACCACTCCAGCTCCACGAAAAGGCGGCAATATGAGGAATTACAGAGTTTAGAATCTGGCAGATGAGTACAGAAGTGGATCTGGGATCACAGCAGCATCCCCACCTAGCACTGTAGCAACCTCAACTCTTCTAGAGGGGGCTTAGCACAAAGGCTGTTGAGAGATGCTCCCAGGAGGAGGGAAGCAAGCAGTGGGTGTGCACATGGCCCCTGCTCTGTGGTTTCAAAAGCAGAGCCAATAACCCAATTCCTTCTTATACTTCTTCATTCCTAAAGATACTAAGACAGAGTGCGCCTTGCTTGTTCAAGATGTATTTGGTTTATGGTTGGGACACCAAGCTCAGTGTTTGTGGGCTTGGCTAGTAAGCTGAACCTGTGAATCCCCAAATGAGGACTGGACACTTTGTGGCTCATTTCTTCATATGAGTAAATAGATCTCATTGGTGGCTGCTAGATGGTGCCCATAAGTCACAGTTTTCATATTCCACTCATTAAATTGAGGATGTCCTCTGCATCAAAGGGGAATGGGCCAGAGCAAGTTTCCTCTTGTTTGAATGCCCCAAGGAGAGGGCACAGCTTCATTCCACAACCTCACCATTCTAAACCCGCCCTTCTTTTAATCCACAATATCCACAAGAATTAGAAATGCATGGAGTGATGGGTGTGGATAAACAGCATGGAGATGTGCATGGAGGTGAAGAGGGAAACAAGAATGGTCACCCCTGAAGCCAGGGGCTGCCCACACAGGAGAGGGTCTAGAATGATCAACTTCAAGGGGATGAGGTAAGGGGGTGTGGAGGAAGTACTCAGGGAACACAGCTGTCAGATGGAGCAATACCATTTCTTCTGATCACTCCATCTCCCCATTGGTCTCTCTCTACTCACAGGCCTGGGGGCAGCAGCAGGAATCCGGGCAGCATGGGCAGCGGACGTAGCAGCAGCAACTGTGAGGGCAGCACTGGCACCAGCAGATCCCCACCAGCACGAAGAAGAGGAAGACTCCCAGGAGTACCAGGCCGACAAACACCCACTCTGGAAGGATGCACACACAAAAAAATCTACTCGACGTAGCCCCCCTTCAGGACACACCCTATAAAAGAGGTGAGTGGGAAGGACCTCAGGAAGGAAGAAAGCACATCTAACTGGGAAAAAGAGCTTCCAAACTTACAAGGAACTCTGAAAGTAAGAAGTGCTGGGGCATGGGAGAAGAGGGAAGCAGGTGACCTATATCACACAGGATGCTTAAAGTAGCCAGCACTGTGATAGGAGACTTTGGGGTTCCCCACTAGGTAAAAGGTTTCAGTTACCTATGGTTATGTCAGAACAAAGGTAGAAAACAAACTGAGGGATGGGACCTTGCATTCTGGGTTCTCAAGTGGTGAATTTTATAAATGCCCTTCTTTTATTGTGAAGCCAATCTTGTTTATGTAAGTCCTGACATTGCATAGTGGTACATGCCTGTAGTCCCAATACTCTAGAAGTTGAAGTAGAAGGATCACAGCAGCTTGGGCTACAAAGTGAGACCCTTTCTCAAACAAACAAACAAACAAAATCTCTAAGTCTTTGGGGTGGGGGTGCTGTATGCCTATATGGTCCAGGCCCTGTGCAAATTCATCTATTTCCCCGGGTGATCGCCTCTAGGATGCCCTTCCTGCCCTTAGCACTGGAGTAGAAGTCCAGACCTCTTAGTAATACTTCAACAGATATCTATGGTTAGAAAAAAGTAAGAGGAATGGTTTCACATAGCGATGACACTGTCTCCATCCCCAGAGTATGGTTTGATCACACTCAGGATGACCATGCAGACAAGCATTAAAGTGGCTCAGAGCACTGATGAATGGCAAGGCTGACATGAGTGTAGTGAGGTATGTTTTTCAGCTTCTGTGATTTTCATAGCTCTGTCAGAGGCTAAACATGAAATTTATTTAATTTACTTATCCAAAAGATTAGGAAAAAGGGAGCAAATTCTATTTGGCTTAGATAAAAGTGATTGTGGCCTTTGGGTGACTTGTCTCAATGTCAAGCTACTGGGCTTGGCTATGGGGTCTACTGTCTCCCTGGAGATCTGGACAGATGGCAATGAACCATGCTGTCCTTTAAAAACCAAAAAACCAAAATGACAAAAAGCTATCCACTCAAAATCCCTTTGTAATGAGCTTCAAGTATACATTGTTTTTCTTAAAAATTTTGTTATTAATTATCTCTTCGATTAAATGACTATTCATTTGGGAATTTGAAAATATGATTTTTATATATAAGGAATTTTATGACAGTGGTTGAATCATTTGACCTTTGACTGGAACATCAGTTCCTCAGAGAGAAAACAAACAGATCATGTTTTCTGAATGTCTCCCACTTATCCATCTGCAAAACAGTCAAGGGAACCAGGTCAACCTCTTTTCAGGTAGGGACTGAGAAGGCTTTATGCCTGGCTTGAATGGTCAGGAGAACATTCTCGATGAAAACAGTAGATAGCATGAGGTTTTAGCCTAGGCCTTAGCAGTAACATAACTAAGGAAGGGTGCAGGGAGAAAGGAACATAGCGATAGTTTAGATCAGCAACAGGGAATGGAGGAAGGTAAGAATAAGAGACCAGCAGGGTATATTTAAGAAACAAAAGAACACTATCTGTCTAGGTTTGGCTACACAAGCCTGCAATCCCCATACTTGGAAGGCAGAGGAAGGAGGGTTGCTCTGAGTTCAAGGTGAGTTTGAGATGCACAGTAAGTACCAGGACAACCAAGGCTATGTAGCAAGACCCTGTCTTGATAAATAAATAGATGAATAAATAAATCTGTGAACGGATTCTTAGAGTCACAGGGAGGGAAATTCAGGTGACTAGGGCTAGATATAAAATACAGAAACTCTTTCTTGGGTCTGGAAGATACAAATTTTACTTTGAAACATTCAATGTGACATTTTTGTGTGTGTGAATAAATGCTTACAAATTGAGGGAACTTTAGATAAAGGAGGTTACAAAGAGAATTTCCATCTGTGTCCTTGAGGGCAATGTCAATAAGGAGAATGTCTGAGTTTGGTTGGCCAGCTAAAGGTAATGGACAGAAAGAATTCATAGAAGAGGAACTAATGAGGCTAAATTTTGAAGACTCTGGACATTTCTTCAAACTTCAATCAACGGCTGGGCGTGGTACCACACTCCTTTAATCCTAGCACTTGGGAGGCAGAGGCAGGCGGATTTTTGTGAGTTCGAGGCCAGCCTGGTCTACACAGTGAGTTCCAGGACAGCTGGGGCTACAAGGAGACCCTGTCTCAAAAAAGACAAAAAAACCACCACAAAACCTTGAATCAACTCAAAACCAATTGACCAGGAATATTTTTTATCCCTCTGCTGCTATTTAGAAAACCCTTAAAATTCTGGAAGAAGGTCAAGTGTGGCAGAACAGGCCTTTAATCCCAACACTTGGGAGGCAGAGGCAAGCTCAAGGCCAGCCTAGTCTACATAGTGAGTTCCAGGCAAGTCAGGGATATATAGTGAGACCCTATCTCAAAAAAAAAAAAAGCCCCAAACAGAAACTCTCCAAAGGCAAGGCTGATCATATCCTTTGCTATTCTTTCTATGGTTATCATCCCTTCCATAGTTCAATTTCACTACTCCCCAAACCTCCTTCAATTATAAGCTACAGCAAAGCACTAAACTGGCTTTTCTGGACTGAAACGACAGTAAAAGGTACAAATATGTATTTAGGACAAGTGCTTCTGACATATGGTCCATGGATAACTATGGACTTTCAGGATCTGAGTACATCAGTAATACAGGTCTCAGAATGTGTGGTTTGGGGTGGGGAGAAGAGGAGCTCATGGTTTTCCTAAGGCTGCAAAGGATTTTTGATAATGTTACAAAAGGCATTTCAGAGTTGCAAGATTATATAATAATGAATAGGTAAGCATATAACTTAGGAAATAAGGAATGCAGATAAATGATGACTTTGTTACAAATACTTATAACTATCTAGCTATCTGTGTACCGGTGATATACTGATATGGACCTGAAGATAACAAAAGATACCACATGCCTCACAACAAGGGATTGGGACCCCACTTCAGCCTATTCTTTTAGGACCTAGGATCAGAAGGAATACAAAAGGTTTATCCAAGGGGCTTACTTCATTCTGGAAAAAGACAACAAATATTATATAGACAAATGTGCAAATAAATAAAACAAGTAATTAGTGACTAATGCAGGAGCAGACAGATGGAAGAAGAACAAATTAGATAAATGAAGAGTTAAATGACTGAATACCTGGCATAATCTCCACAGCAAAACTGGGCAAGAGATCAGCAAGCAGCCCTGTCCTGCCTAGAAGAAGTGGAAGGAAAAGAAGAAGGAAAGAGGTTACTCCAAAGGAAAAATGCAGCCTGATACCTGCGCCCACTGGTGCTGTGCCCTCCTGGGGCCATTGCTCTGTGCTCCTTTTGGTAGGAGACAGCCATCATCAAGGCTGGGCTCAGTTAGAGGGGATAACCATGCATATCACATTTGGTAGCCATGCAAGGGAAGTGTGCGCTTAAGCTAGGTGGAAGCAGAAATGGAACTTCATCTCCAGCATTCATAGGAAAAGGGAATCTCTGCTTTCATATGAGAAACGCTGCGTGAACAGATTGACATATACCATCTCCATTCATTCCTGCAGCCCTCTCCACACACTTCGGTACAAAGTCAAATGTATCTGTAGCTAAACATTCAATCTACATTTTCATACAATCCATATACAGTCCTATGTCCATACAAAAACAAAAGTACATATTTGGTTTTAACTGAGAATTAACTAGCTACATGATTCTATTTATGGCCTTAAAGATATTTCAATGATTAAAATGTTCAAAGGCAAGGAAAAGATAAAGCTAGATTGGTTACACACTCCTCTACACTCCTTCTGTCTTCATAAATACCCTGTACATATGTATATGGTATGGCTTTTCCATATGGCACCCACAGCTGGCATTGTATGTACCCAAGTGCCTTCTGCGTGATATGGCATAGAAGCTTAAAGGCTGGTGTCAGAACAGGTGCCTCTCAGGGAGTCCAGGAAGCAAAGAGTTGTGCAGGAAATAAAATGCCGGAAGATGTGAGGGAGGAGATTGACCTGATTTATGGAAGATATTCTGCATGTTCTCTCTGTAGTCTCATATCAAGGCCTGTGGTATTACTCTCTGAAGCCTTGTTAATAAACTACGAAGTTGCACCAGGAGGCAAGTAGCAAACTTCCTTCCTCTGTGATTTGTGATGATAAAAGGTCACTATGACACCTACAGCATGCTGTTAAATCTTACTCCATGTAGGTGTGTGACAAGCATCTCCAGAACAGCACCATCCAATGGCAGTACAATGCCAGCAACATGGGTCATTTTAGGTTTTTTCAATGATTACATTGAAAAAGCACAAAGAAACAGAAACAATTAATTATCTTTTTCACGTTTATCAGTATCCACAACATATTATCATTTCAAGAGCTCAGTAATCACATGCAGCTATTTATTGAATAGCTGTGCTATATGGGTCTACAGACTTGTAGCTTATATCAACAATGACTTCTATTATGAATCTAATAAGTGATCTGGACCACAACATATCCAGAGATGTTTAAAACATTGGTAGGCTTGAGATCTAAAGAGTAAACACAAGCAAATTTTCTCATTTAACTAGATGCAAGAGGTACACTTAGAAGTACTGATAGTCTAGATTTAAAACACACACACATGAACACATGTATGTACACACACATATGCACATGCACAAATCCATGTTGTAAGTTTTCATATATCCATTCACAGCCCTATTTCCATAATAAAACAAAACATATGCATATGGATTTGGCTCGTTTAGAAAACAGCTTCATTGCCTTTTAGCTAAGATCAAGTGTAGAAAACAACTTTTTCCTGTTAAAGTTGATGAGGTATATAAAAGGGTACCTATATGTATAGTTTATATTTTGAGTCTGTAAGTCATAGCTAGCCACAGGTTATCTTCCTTATATGACACTCCACTGAAAAGCAAGTCTAACAAAAGTCAAAGAAAAAACAAGAGAACAAACAAACAATTAAAACCAGGAACCTTCGGGACACTAGCGGAGGGTACAGTTGCTGGGGAAAGACTGTAGCAAAGAGGGTTAAAGGGATCTTTGCTTGCTCTACCTTTCTTGGTTTTCCTCAAATGTAAGAGGCCACTATGGTAACACGCATCCTGGTCAAACCTCCTGCATGGATGATGGTCTCACATTTGGAAAACAACACCCACATTCCAACATTAAATTATTGTAGGGTGATGATTTAGGCCAAGTCTGCTATAGCAAGCCTTGGCAAGAAAAGCTTGCTTCTTTATCCTCCATCTTGCATAGCTGATATGGTAAGATAGCTCTGCTGTTTGCAAGGTCTCTTAGAAGGAGAGCCAAGGGGGCATTAAGAAAGGTGTCCTGAAGGTGGCTTCTCAGACTAGATTTTGGCCTATGCCATTACAAAAGGCTATAAGGTACCTCTAAGGCTCACACAACTCCCCAGGTAAGAGAGACAGAGGTTTGGGACCAAAGTCTGAGCAAGTGATTAAAAGCACTTAAACTTGTCTTCAGTGTTCTCTAGAACTATGTCTTAGAAACTCAACAAGGAAATAAACAGATGGCCAAATATTTAGGAAATTGGGACCTTAGACATCTCTTGAATACATAATGTTCATTACCAGGCAATAGCCAATAATCAAGTAATCAATGTACAAGGTTTGTTAACAAACCATTTATCAGATATTTAATGATATGTTGTGAGATTTTTCTAGACAATTAGTATTTCTAAATATATCTCTTGTATCTCATTAAATGAAAAGCTTTGCTTGCATTTATTCTGCAGATCTCAAGTCTACCAATGTTTAAAACATCTCTGGATGTGCTATGGGCCACATCACTAATTAGAGTCATAATAGAAATGTCATTGTTTATATAAACTACCAATTGTAGACTGTCTCAGGGCATTAGCCATATGATAGGTGATGACTGATAGATAGATAGATAGATAGATAGATAGATAGATAGATAGATTGTATGTATGCATATAGCTCCATATATATATATATATATATATATGAATTCATTCATTTTGAGTTTCTTAAGACAGTCTTGTTATGTAGCCCAGGCTGGCCTGGAACTCACAGTCCTGCCTCAGCCTCTGAATGCCTGGATTACAGATGTTTGTCACTGCATCTGGCTGTTATAATTAAAACATTCATATATCCAAAGAGGATATAGCATTCACATCTATTACAAAGAACTTGTTATGTTAGTTAAAAAACCCAGTGGACAGGGAGTCAAAGAAGTCGGGAAAGCTTCCTCTTTTTCTTGCTCAATTCCTCCCTTTCTTGGGCTCAATTTTCTCATAGTAAAAGTAAGAAGTTGAATGTTGTGGTGTAAGGAGACCACATGTCTTGCTTTTTCTGGAACAGTCAGATTTAAGTCTATGGTCTGTAACTATTATTTTTTGTTGATTCTTCAAGAATTTCATACAACGTATTTTGATCACATTCAGACCTCCTCCCTCATCTCCACCCCCTCCCCACTACCCCTTCCAATTTCATGTCTATTATTAGTTTTTTTTTTATTAGGCTTTTTATTTTATTTCAGTTTTGGTCTTTTTTTTTTTTTTTTTTTTTTTTTTTTGTCTTTTTGAGACAGGGTCTCCCTGTAGCCCCAGCTGTCCTAGAACTCATTATGTAGACCAGGCTGGCCTTGAACTCACAGAGATCCACCAGCCTCTGCCTCTGGAGTGCTGGGATTAAAGGCATGCGCCACCACGACCAGCTTTTATTAGGCTGGGATTAAAGGTATGCAGCCCCATGGCTGGCTAGTTTTCTTAAAGGTCCTATTGAGTTTAATCTGTGCTTTCTAAATGTTCTTGGGTGTGTATTATCCCATGGAGTCTGGTCAACCCACCAGGCATCAATTATTTTTTAAATTTATTTTTATTTTATGTGTATGAGTGTTTTGCCTGCATGTATATAAGTGCACCTCCTGCATACACTGCCCATGGAGGCAGTAAGAGGGTGTTAGATACCTTGGAACTGGAGTTACAGGCAATTGTTAGCCACCATGTGGGTGTTGGGAACCAAACCCAGGTCCTCTGTAAGAACAGCAAGTACTCTCTCCCGTCCTTTATGGTAATTATTAATAGCCCTTTTTTTTTTTTTTGGCTTGCAGAGTATCCTAGTTTGGACAATTAATGGTATGGTCACCCTATCTATATTTAGTTCTCAAATCTGATACTCAATAAAGGGGTTTCAAACTCACATGTCTAGAGGGACCAGCCAGTGATTCAAATGAGCACAGCTGGATATATGTGATACATGGAGAACTGTGGGGGTGTGGCAAATGGCAGTGTTGCTAGGAGGCCACTACCGTACAATTCTAGTCAATTATTGCCCTGTGGGAATGTGTCAGGTCATCTTTTTAAAAAATTTTATTTATTATTTTTATTTTATGTGTATGAGTATATTGCCTGCATGTATGTAAGTGCACCAGAGTCGTGCAATGCCCACAGAGGTCAGAAGAAGGTGTTGAATTCCCTTGGAACTGGAGTTACAAATGGTTGTTAGCTGCCATGTGGGAACTGGGAATGGAACCCAGGTCCTCTGCAAGAGCAGCCAGTGCTCTTAACTACTGGGCCATCTCTACAGCCCCAGTCAAGTCATCTTATTCAAGTTTACCAGATCCCAGATTTTATGCAAAATATCCTAATTTTCCAATGTTGAGGAACTAATTCATATGTTTAAAAAATAGTGGACAAACCAAGTAAATTGTGTCTGTGAACTGCACAAAACCCTGAGATCAAGAGTTTGCAACCTCAGGGCCAAAGATGGTTCAGCAGTTAAGATTACTGGCTGCTCTTTCAGAGGACCTGGGTTCCATTCCCAGCACCCACATGGTTGCTAACAACCATCCATAACTCCAGTTCCAGGTGATCCAACACCCTCTTCTGACCTCTGCATGGATGGCATGACATGAGTGCACTTACATATATGCATGCAGGCAATACACTCATACGCATAAAATAAAAGTTAATCATAACAAATAAAATATTTTTGAAACGAGTTTGCAACCTCTGAAAGGTATGTATACACAGACATGTTTATGGGAGGAAAAACACAAAAGCTGAATTTCCCAGTAGGCTGTTTGGGCTAGCTTGATGGTGTTCCAACATTGCTTTCACATGCAGAATAATAGTGAATATAAGCTCTAGGAACCACTGTTCAAATTAAGATTTCAAGGTAACAGTACTATCCCCTGCATTCTTCACATTCATAGCCTTTCTTGCTTGGGAGCT